CCATTTCTCAACCGCGAGGTGGGCCTTCCGCGGGGTGGCGCGGGGGTGGGGGCAGTAATGTCCACCGCCGAATATGGTTATCAAGTAACCTGGTAGGACCCACTGGAGCCCGGGGAGGGGGCGTGGGGGGGCTGCCTGCGGGGGAGGAGGGGGGAGGTCTTCGGCAGGCACAGGCATGCCTGCCTGCACCGGCGGGGCGGCGTTGCAACATCTGGCGAGTGAGCATCCGAGTGGTGCCGGTGCGGTGAGTGGCCCCAGCCGTGGCCAGGCGGCCCAGCCCGGCCCGGCCCAGCCCCCGCGGCGTTGCCACGTCTGCCCCGCGCGCGCCGCCCGGCCGGCCCGGACAGCACAGCCCGCTCAGCCCGGCCAGGATCGCGGCGCAGCGGGCCGGGCCGCGCAGCACGGCGCAGCGCAGCACAGCCACCTTATTGTTTTATCCCTCTCTCGATCATCTCCATGCTGAGCGGCCTTTGTTCGGCCGGTAGCAGCACAGAGAGAGAGAGAGAGAGAGAGAGAGAGAGAGAGAGAGAGAGAGAGAGAGAGAGAGAGAGGGGGGAGAAGGAGAGAGAGGTAGGGGGAGAAAGGAGATGGACAGGTGAGGCCGCGGTAGGACCGAACACGCATCGAAGGGGCATAAACAGGACACAATGCTAATGGCGAGTATGCTAAGGAGCCACGCCGCGCTCCCTCCCGCACACACTCACACTCACACACACACACTCACACACACACACACACACACAAGCAGAGACACAGACGGCAGGATCCTTCGAAAGGCCCCGGCTGATGGACTGCAGCGCCCCAACCTTGCTCCTTTTTCATTTTGCCCCCCGTCGCCGCCGCCGGCTGGCGATGCTGAAATGCGGACACTGGTGGCTGCGGCGGCATTCAACTGAACGGCACAATGAAATCGCCATTTCAGCCCGTCCCGTCCCGTCTTGACGCGTCGAGCCCGCGGGTGAAAAGTCGTATGGATGGACGGCTAGGTGGGTGGATGGCGGGCTGGCTTGGCTACCTGGCGCCAGTGAATGAGAGCCTCACGCTTGCGTTTGCAAAAGCGAAACTTGTGCAACTCACTCACACACGCATCGCACATAGCGCGGTCATCCTACTCATCAGTACACCATGCACCATTACCACACTACACGGGAGAAAAAAAGTTGGTAGAGGGGAAAACATTGAAGAATACAAGTCCTGTTCGAGAAAAAGTCCTTAGATCTTGTCCTTAAAATATGTACATATTTCTATATATTTCTTTTCTCTCTTTTTAGGATACTTCTGTATTATCTGATAAGTTTTCTTTAAATTATCAAAATTCCTCAATATTTTTCATTTTTTCTCAATATGTAAGACATTTGTTTTTACAGTGTGACACTGACATGAGCCAACATCAAAAATGCACAATGAGTTTGAAATAAAGGAAATCAGCGCTTAGACTACCCTATTGCTCATATTTGTTCAAACTTAGATGCTTTCTTGAAAAAACAAAAAAACAAAACAGCTATGAAACTCATTAAAACAAAAATAAAACTTTATCACGAAAAAAGAAAACAGCACCTTCCTTGCGGGAAAAAAAAAACTGGGTGCGCTGTGCGGCTGTGCGGCGCGCCGCCACCTGTCCGCCCCGCCTGGCTCTGCCCCGCCACCATTGGCGTAATTATCACGCCCGAGGATACGGCCGGCCAAGTTATGGCGTCCGATTCCTTCCCGGGATTATTGATGCAGATGAGGAGAGCGGGAAGAGAAGAAGATGGGCAGAAAAAAATAAAATATAAACGGAATAAAATCAGATCAGATCGGCTGCGTCTGTGTGCGAGTGAGTGTGCGAAATAGTTCCCATGATTCATGGAAAGGTAATGACCACCTGGGCCGAGCACACGCTGGGCGCGACAGGAGCGCCCCGGCCGTGTCGAACAAAAACAACAAGAGTAGGACTTTGAAGAAAAGGGAAAACTTTGAGGAACTGGCATATTCGAGGGAAAACTCATAAATTGAAGATAGGTCTCAAAAATAAAGGGAATTCTCACATTTTCTGAGGACATTGCCCACAAATCTGAGTTGGTTTTCCTTAAATATGAGTATTCCTCAAAGTTTTCCCGTTTGCGTCTGAAAAAATATCAGACATTGATTTTACTGTGAACCGGGCCACGAAGTTGACTCATGTCCACAAAAAGACAGCACTCCCCAAGCTAGCCACTGCCAGGCTATCGGCCGGGTCCCAGCGCTGTGTACGTGCACCTCGGCCGCACTTTCGAACCCTTGCCCGTTCTCACCGCGCGGCGGGGCCGGCTGGGACAGATAGGACCCACGGAAACCTACCATCGCATCGCCGAGATCAACCACCTCCCTCTCCGCCGCGCCGCCCCGCGCCGCCCCGCGCCGGCCTTTATCGTGCGTTTATAGGTGTTGGCGTGGGCGGCGGGTAAACAGAGCTGGACCCGGCCGCTCCCACGCCAGCCAGGCCGGCCAGCCCGGCCAGCGATAACTGATGAAAGGCCGCGCAGGGGGAGGTGGGCGCTGCTCCCCTAGGTGTCGGGGGGAATGACAGGCGCCCCCCGGACGGGACCTGGACGGGACCTGGACGGGACAGCCAGCGCCGCCGGCCCGGCGCTGCACCACCACGTGATTGCGGGACATCCTGGATACACACTCTGACTGACAGACGGACCGTCCGGTAAACACCTTCCGACTCACGCGCCCCCTTCTCCCTCTCACGGACACACACGCTCAGACACACACACACACACTCAGACATACACACATGCACAGACACACATGTACAGGCACACACACCCAGACACCGGGGATCGAACGAGCAAGCGCGCCAGACGCCGCCGGCGAGTCGCCTCCATTCGTCACAGTTCCGAGGAGAATCCGTTCCGTACCTCCAGCCGACCGGGGCGTGGCGTGGCGTGCCGTGGCGTGGCGTGGTCGGGCGCAACGCAACTGGCCGGCAGGCGTGGCTCCGCGTGCGTACACACACCTCGTGTTTACCGAGAGAGCGAGAGAGACCACGCTAACCAAAGGTAATGACCGGGAACACCATAAATCGTCGGGGCAGCGCCACCCTTTTCCGAACGATTTAGGAAAACGCGCGAGATTGTCTTCATTTTCATAATTGCCGCTAGATCGCTATCGGCGGCTAGGCATTTATCCACGCGCGAATTTCATCTCATCCTTCTCCTTCTCCTCCTCCTGGCTGGAACACGATACGGGTATCGAGTCCGGCCAGACAACCCGGAAAAAAAAAGAAAGACAAGTGAAGGAACATAAAAATAAAATATACTCCCAAACTCGTCCGAGATGGAATGCCCTGCCTCCGCTGCTGTCGCGCGCCCCCAGAACCCCCTTTTCGATATAAAACTAAATCTGCAAAGCGGCTTTCGGTTCGGTCGTCGTCGTCATCATCATCATCATGCGAAGCTCATCATCCTCCAGGGCGAACGAAACGAGCGCGAGAGGAGGGAAAAAATGATGTCACATTTCTCTTTCGTATTATCAATTCGACTGCTCTTGCTGGGCTGTGCTCAGGCCGGCCCGCCGGCAGCCAATGAGCGTCCAGGGAGATGGAACCGGAAATGAAAGGCTCCTGCTGCTTTAGCCGGGAGGAAAAAGAGGCTCGCGTCTGGCGCGTGTATCTGGAGCGGATCGAAAAACAGGCGGCGCGCTCCTAAGACAAGTCTCGCAGCCGTTCTGAACCGCCACGCACTTCCATGTCCAAGTTCGAATCCTGCAATGGGAGGGTAGCCGCAACGACGTCCGAGGTTCACGCCCGAAAGTTCCTCACTGTCCGAGTTTACAACAGCGTCGGTGGCTAGCCAGACCTGTTCCAGTTTGACATTAACTATAGATCACCAGCCGATGTCTTAGTTTTACTCCGGTCCTCATATCAATTGAATAGCTATAGGCAGGAGGTAGCGTATTTTAAAACGAATCGTATACCAACGACGCACCGCGTCAAAACAGCGTCAAAAGAGGTCGACAAGACAATAAAAGTGAATTTGCTAAAAACTAAAAAGTATCGAGTCCCTGGCCGGGTGCCCCCCGTGGGGCCCGGCCCGGCGAGCCCAGGGGTCTCGGCCGGACCCATCCACACCGCACCCAGGCGGATTGATTGCTTATCTCTAACCCATACCTCCTGTCCTGTCCCCGAGCGGCCATCGGCCCCAACAGGCTGGCTCAGGCTGGCTGGCCGGCCCCGGGCGGTCACCAGTCGCCCACCAATGGCGTCAGAAATCCGACCAAGCATCCCAATAACTCCCCCCCCCCTTTCCCCATTTCCCCGTGAACATTCCCCTCGCCATGGCAGACGAGTCACTCGCCGTGTCCTCTGAAGGGTCCAATATGTGGTATTTTAATCAAATAGTGACGATAACGTAAAGAAAATGATACCGTCTGATAAAAGGGTAAAACAGCAAAGATGTTTGTACCTATAAAAAACTTTTAAAAGGGACGGCCAGGAAACCATGTGCTTGATTCGAAAAACAGTAAGCCCAAACTGAAGCTCGAAGCAAGTAAAATGTTCGACGAGGGCGAGAAGGAATAATAAACAGAATACACGATAATATGCTTGACTGACATTTACATGGAGAACACAGAACACAGTATTCTGGATTCCATAAAAGCCCGTCATAAGTCCCCCCTCCCTCTTTCCACACACACACACACACAGCCTAATAACAACGGTTTCTAAACGCCGCGTCCCACAACCACCAGCACGTGGGGACAAAACCTCCGGCCGCCGCACGACTCAATTCAGGAGAAGCAGAGCTGGACAGCCGTGTGTTTATTATCATTATTGCATATTAGAGCCTTCGACAGCAAATGGACTTTAATGACACAGCGGAGCCCGGCGCTGCCCCGCCATCAGCAGCGCCCGGCAGCGCCCGGCAGCGCCTGCCCGGTGGGCGGCGGCCGCTCTGCTCTGCTCCGCTCCGCCCTGACATCGCCGTGGTCGTGCTGGTGGCGGCTCAGCCCGCAGCTCAAATTAAAACACTTACCGAGATTCCGAGCCAGGGCTGCTCCGGGCGAGCTCAAACCCAGCAGCAGTAAGAGCAGTGCGAGCGGGCTCGCGAGCGGATGGGTCCGCGGGCCCCGGGACCGCCCCCGCTCGGGAGGCACCCCCCGGACGGGCACCCGTGGCCACGCCATGCCGCTAGCTGCAACAGAGAAGACAAAGACCGCGTTAGTATACATACTCACATGGGATCCGAGGCAAACAGTCGGTGCTCAATAGTACACACAAATACAACATAACATCTTTTAAAAGTAATGCGCATTCCCTGCGTTAGAACACACTGCCCCTCTAAATACGGGAGAACAAATGTCCTCGTTTCGTGCAGACACGCAGAAAAAAAAGAAACAAGAAAAAACGTAATAAAGGTGTTCACGTCGTGTCCTGCCGGGTGTAGATAGATGAACAAGGCCTTTTAAAACGCACCGCGCTTCAAATTGCGTGGGACCGCTGGCCTGGCTGGGACGGTGTGAAGGGCAAGCACCGAGCGGCCATACCCGGCAGAGGGCCCTGCGGCCAGGGCTCTAGCCGGGGCGCCACACGAGAAATGTGCTTCACGTCGCATTCGAGCCCACAAAGTGCGCCATTTGGCTTGAAGGACCCTGGCTGGCAGGCGGGCCGGTGGGACCCCAGCAGCGGGGCCCGGGGCTCACTGTACACGCCCCGCGCCGGCAGATCCACACTGTGAGAGGGACACCGCTGGAGAAAGAGGTGGTAAGTTTTGGTGGTTATAGTGGTGGTAGTGGTGGTTGTGGTGGTTGTGGTTTTTGTGGTGGTTTTGGTGGTGGTGGTTTTGGTGGTGGTGGTTTTAGTGATGGTGGTTTTGGTTATGGTGGTTTTGGTGGTGGTGGTTTTGGTGGTGGTGGTTTTGGTGGTGGTGGTTTTGGTGGTGGTGGTAGTTGGGGTGGTGGTAGTTTGGGTGGTGGTAGATTGGGTGGTGGTAGATTAGGTGGTGGTAGATTAGGTGGTGGTAGATTGGGTGGTGGTAGTTTGGGTGGTGGTAGTTTTGGCGGTGGTAGTCGTGGCGGTGGTGAAGATGGTGGTGGTTGTGGAGACGGATGTGGTTGTGGAGATGGATGTGGTGAGGGGGTGGTGGTGAGGGTTGTGAAATGGTAATAGTGGAGCTTGAGACAGAAGTGGTAGTGGTAGTAAATAGAGGTGGTGTTAGTGAGTGGAGGTGGTGATAGTGAGTGGAGGTGGTGATAGCGGAGATGGGGATAGTGGAGGTGATGGGATGGTGGGGGGAGATGGCGGCAGCCGAGAGGCTATGCGGCGGGACTCCTGGGGTCATGCTGACAACAGCATAAAGGAGTGTTCGGCTCTCATACCGCTGAGCCCAGCACATTGGTATCTCCCTCTCCTGATCCCCAACCTCTCTCTAGGCGGCCAGGGCGGGGCTGGGCGGTGCCGACATGGAGTCGAGGTGCGCCTTACGCAGCTCATGTTAATTAGAGCAAGTTCAAACTGTGCGTCGTCCCACCCGCTGGGAATGGCGTCGCGGGGCGGGGCAGGGAAGGGCGGGGCGGCGCAGACAATGCATCTTAATTCCGCCGCTGCGCCGCTCTTGATGAGCTCGCCTGCCAATCCCGGCCGGACGGGGACACATTTTTTTTCCTCCTCGGCATCCAGAAGCAGCAGCAGCGGGACGCGCCGCTCCACTCGCTGCAGGGCCGCCGTGTCGCCGGCAGAGCCAGGCAGAGCCACGGGCAGATAACATCCAGCCTCTCGCACGCACACGATCGAGCTCCGCCGAATGCGTTTCCGGAAAGAAATATCGCACACGCGCTCCCCTTGGATCGGCACTCCGGACCACAGATCATGACCGCTCCGGCGCGAGCCCAAACACACCGGCGTGTTCTTGTCCTTCTCCCTCTCGCATTGCCATTCCGTGCGCCCTTCAACCCCTTACTCATCTCTCTCTCTCTGCCTCTCTCTCTCACACACACACGGCACACCTTTTTGCCCCAGTTCGCTATCGCCCCTCACCTTGCATGCGCCGCCGAACTACTTCCATCACTTACTGCTTGATTTGCTCCCCGCTCGCTGCGGGCACGACCACGGCCACACCGCCGCCCGGGCGCGCCCGGCAGCCCCAGGTTCAGCATTTCAGACATATTTCGCGATTCGCCGCTCGTGGCTATATATAAGGGGATGCTCAGCGGAGTGGAGCGAAATCACCGAGGAAGAGGGGGCCCAGAGTCATCCCTAAACCACGTAACGCCCCACAGGCCACAGCATCTCCTCTCTCCTCGCCCTTTCCCCAAAGCCCCTCTCTCGCTCACCCATCCTTTCGACAAACAGGTTTCTTTCAACCGCGACGTCGGTACACCGAGTCGAATCGAGCCCCGCCACGCCCCACCCCGCCAAGGCATCGTCGTCCCCGCCGAGCGATCGCCTGGAAGGGCCGGGCTGCCGGGCTCCTTTACTCCTCGACTCAGACTCACGTCGCTGACGAACGAAACGCACAAGAAAAAGCCACCTCACTCGGCGCACAACACCAGCGGCAGAAGAAGTGAGGCTTCAATCCCGTGCAGCAAGCAGCTCCGATCAGCCAAGCCCAGCCAAGCCAGCCGACTCGAGGAGGGGCGAGCAGGCAGGGCCTCGCTCAGCGAGCAAGCAAGGTTCCGGGCAACACACGCGAATGGTCCAAGGGTACGTTTGATATCGAGTTCCTCGCAGGCTACGCCCCCTCCCACTTCCCCTTCGCGTAGTATTACTGTACTCTGGGTACATACTGAGCGCCCACGATATTGCGATACTGCGCAGACTCACACTCACACACACACACACTTAGGCCCCAGTAGCAAGGAGACAATACAGGATACACCGTTAGGCTCTTTGCCGCTTCCCCTCGTCACGACCTGCCAGATAGCGTCACGGCCTACAACCTTTTCCTCTCGCTCTCGCCTCTCTGTCTCTCTGTCTCTCTCTCTCTCTCTCTCTCTCGCAGGTGAGATACATTCCTGGAAGGGCGTGGTGGCACCGCGAAGCGGATCGTGGCGGGGCGTTGCGGGGCGCACTTTCGTCAACATCGATCTTGTCATTGTGTCACGAGCGGGCGGGCACCTGTGTGTGTGCGTGTGTGTATGTGGAGGTGTGTGAGTGTGAGAGAGAGTCTATGTGAGTGTTTGTGGCGCCCGGAGTCAGCCTTGGCCAACACCGCGAGCCCCCTCCTCCTCCCCCTCCCCCCTCTGCGGTTTGTTCACCGGGGAGGGAAGGTGTGGCTGCGCCGATCTCCAAGCGTCAAGTCGATACAGGGGGTCATTCATAATCGCACCACACCGCAGCGCCGCGCCCCGCCCCGCCCCGGGTCCAGTCCGGTCCGCACGCCTCGCCATGCCCGGGCTGGGCCGGCCGGCCGGCCGTTCAAGTGTTTCAATCAACTCAAACACTCTCGGCTCAATGAAGGAGAACAGATGTTGCCCCGGTAATTACCGCCACCCCGGCCCATCACGACCCCCCCCCTCCCCCTTTCCACCTGGAGTCCTCCCGACAAAACAACGACGACCCGGAATAATAACATCATGGAAGCGGAGCAACACATCCGAGGCGAGGCTGGCGCAGGCTCCGGCCGGCCCCGCAGCCCGAGGTGCAAAGCCTCCCGTGACACACCACGGCCGCCTTGTGTGGTCCGGGCGATGGGGCCGGGCCCCGGGGGCGAAAGGGGTAGCGGCGGGTAGCAAAAACGGTCTGCAGAGCGGCAGGCAACCCATCGCCCCTATTGTGGTGTACCCCAGTACACTCACCGACAGAGTTTGAAAGGTCCTGGTCACATGACGAGCAAGCAGCCTCGCAGACTGCACCGCGACCGCGCACTCGAGGTGGCCAATACGGCACACATGCTTGGCGAAGTGAAGGCGAGGTCCGGCCGCGGCTGGGCCGCTCCTTGAAGCAGCGGCGGCAGCGCGGTGGTCCGGCTCCAATGAGCCGAGGCGGAGCGGCTCAGAGGTGGCCGCCGGCCGCCCCCGGGCCAAATAACCCCCACATCAATTAGGCATCATCTCGATGAAGTCATTTCCACCGGCCGCTCCGCTCG